TATAATATTAGAGCTCTGAATCTCAGGGGGTGACAATTTACTTGTATAATTTGTTCAGGAGCATCCCGTTGTTGGGTGACAACATCCTATGTCTGTCTCCAAATTACATTCCCGCGTTGTCACCCGATCACACGGGCTTCGTTCAGTTAGGGTTGACGGCACCAGTGACTGGTCCCTTTTGTTGGCTGTAAGCACTGTGCTCAGGCAGGAGACAGGCCGGCCTCCGTGAGGACCTCGCAGCCTGAGATGTCTGCCCTGACAGGGAGAGAATACCAATAAATAACAGCACACGCAGCCATCCCTGACTGCTAAAGTTGCACCAAAGAAACAATTCAAGAGCGGCCATTCTTACAAGTTCCCATCCCCCGGCTGGTTTCTATAACGTCCGCAAGCAGTGCCGCTGGATCTGTGCTGGAGAATCTGTTCAGGATCGGTTAAAAGTAGGGATGCACCGATACTGGTATCGGTGCCGATACCGAGAACAAATGCTCCGATACCGGAACTTCCGGTCAGACGGAGATCTCTCTCTGGCCGGCAGTGACCGAGGGAGCATAGAGCCGGCTTCCTTTCCGATCAGGAAGCTGGGAGGCGGGTCATGACTTGCGTCCCGACTTCCTGATTGGTCAGGAAGCCACGCTGCCTAGGAACAAGTGAAGGCGGCTTCCTAGCCAATCAGGAAGACGGGAGGCAAGTCATTACATGCCGCCCGGCTTCCTGCTTAGGCTGCTTAGCAACACGTGAAGGGCGGCTTCCTAGCCAGTCAGGGAGGCGGGTCGTGACGTGCCGCCCGGCTTCCTGATTGGTTATGAAGCTAGGCTGTCACCGGTACTCATACCGAAAGAAAAATATCGGTACTCGACATTGAAAAAACGGTATTGGTGCATCTCTAGTTTAAAGCCCACCGTTGGTGGGAGGGGCCATATGGAAGGAAGTGCTCGGCTGACACGGGGGAGGTTGTAGCAGCGCGAACACTAAACTCCCTCTGTGAATTCCCCGCCCTGCTGATGTGTGTTATTGCTGCTCTGTCCCTCACTTCCTGTCCTGGTCACATGGTTGTCCCTGGGAAACATTTCTGATGTCCCGATACGCGTCTGATTTAACCCCTTAAACCTTCCAGTTCTTGCTCAGATCCGTCCCATAGCTTGTGCACGGGGCCCTGCCGGGTGGCCCCGTAGAGATCATAGACGGTTGTGTGGTGTGATGTCCCCGCTGTATAACGGCGGAGGTTCTTGTACCGTTCCACTAGGAAGTCATCTCTTATGTCTGCTCCTCTCTTTACAGAACATACAGCGGTTAGGAGGAGCTTCACAAGCGGCTCACTCTTTAACGACCCCGGTTGTTTCCGTGGCAACGCCCAGTTTACTGTCCCATCATGGACTGCCTTTCTCCGCCATGTCCACAGCGTACAACACAGGTGAGTGCCGCCGGCCATTTGTAGGTGACGTATGACCATGATGAATTTGTATCTACTGTCTACCTTCTGTTTGAGGGGCAAGGTGGCCATCATGACGTTGGGAGAAGCTGTGCTTGACCCATGCAGGTCCACGTGATCATCTGCCCTCTACTCTGTGTGCTGCCCAAAGTCACGTGACCTACCTGGTACTTCCCGGTACGGGACAATATGTGACTCTCTTGTTTCTCCTTCGGGAAATATACGTCAACTGATGGCTCCGTCTGTGAACATGACGTTCCCTCTGGACCATCACCCAGTTGGGCTTCGTTGGGAGACAGAACATAGCATGGGGGTAAAGGGGGAGAGGTTTGGGGATAGGGAACCGGGTGGGTTATAGAGATAGAGACGGCTTGTCGCACTCCGTACCGGATGTCCCAGCTGTGGGGGAAGGGGATCTGGGGGAGCATGATGGGACGAGAAGATGACCATGTATGTCTATGTGGTCTCGCTCAATGGGCCAGTAGGCAACTACTGAAATCTTGGGGGTAGGTAGTGTTGGAATCATGGCGGCCAAGTTCTTTCTAGATCCCATTCAGTATGGTGATGATCTCGCTGAGTACCATCCAGGACATTCTAGACTTGACCTCCTAAAGGTTGGGACTGGTGGACTTCCATGGCTTCGTCATAGTCTACTTGGTCACCATCAGGATGTAGATCATTCATTTGAAGTTGGTGTTTCTTGGCCCTTCTGGTTTTTTGAGTCGTAAAGCTTCAGAAGACGACGCTGTACGGTGGTACTGAGCATATGGTGAGTGTTGGACCATTGGCTGCTTACCGCCGGGCACGTCCAAGGCCAGTCCTGGCCTTTGGGATTTCAGAAGACGACGCTGTACGGTGGTACGGAGCATATGGTGAGTGTTGGACCCTTGGCTGCTTACCACTGGGCACGTCCATGGCCAGTTCTGACCTTTGGGATGTCAAGAGACCATGTGGGCAAATCACGGGGCCTACCTATTCACCTGCCCACGCTCTCCAGAGTGACACCCCCGGTACTTTTGGGTATGGGGGACCACGTGACTCTTTCCCCTCCCTTCCTAAATGACCAATCACCAAGCCGGAGAACCGTCACATATCGGGTGAGGAGAATGTCCTTGGCCTGGTAGAAGCTCCAACCATCTTCACACCTTATCTAAAGTATTCACCGCCTTGGAGGTTGTCCTAGAACACCAAATCACACTGGATTAGACCCTCTCATGTCACGTGACCACAGATCCCTACGAAGCACTTTTGATGGACGACAAGTCCCCACGGTGACCCCATTTCCTGCCTCCGCCATCTTGGATACGAGTGACCTACATGGGTGCAGGAACCTGCTGGGGTTGTGGAAATCTCGGGAACACCCGTGGAACTGGCTGCGGATGTTGACACGTTGGGTGGGTGGATCGCCGACCCGCTGGCTGTAGGCTCGTCACGATCCGGTTTTGGAGGCACCGCCTGACAAACCGGTTTTAGGAAGATCCTCATCTTCAGGAGCAAGTGAAACCGTGTCCACCCAGAGAAGGGAGGGAGGGGCGCGCAGACAAGTCGTGGAGGTACTGATACCTTTGCTGCGCTTCCACTCCCTACTTCTGTCTAATCCCTATATTAGTCCCTTATAATGACCTTCTCCCCTTCCCCCCATGTACTCGGGAGTGGAAAATGTTTGACTTTCTGGTGTCCCCGTGTCTAACGACCGGGTACATGTGGAAGAACCGTAGTCACCCCTTGTGTTTGTGTGGCCACCGGCCTTCAGAACGGCGTAGCCGAGGACCTGCCGAGGAGGAGATACGGCCTACCACCAGCCCGGAGGATGACAGCAGCCTGCGGACGACTCGCATAACCTTCACACGGCTCCCCCTGCTGGCCACGCTGCGTCCCGACGCACCCCGAGAGAGTCTCTATGACCCGTGTGACCTTCCCACTGCACATGTGTCCTCCTGTCACGGATGGCGAGTCCCCCACGCGGTGACTTTCTCCAACCGTGTTATTGAACCGACGGCTCGCTCATCTTGTTATCTCTCCGCGCTTTACAAAGCCGGGCCTCAGCTTTCGGGGCCTATAAAGGCAAAACCCGCGATTGTGTCCACAGGAGGGACGGCTCCGACCCGCCGGCTGGTTCCGGTTTAACAAAGGGGGGGGGGGATGTCTTCTCAGGACACCCGAAAAATGCCAAATTTGATCATTTCATCATTCGGTACATGGCGGGTTTTTTGTGCTCCGATTATCCCGTATTTCCCCGGGGGGGGAGAGGTATGGGGGATGGGCACATGCTGAAGCCTAAACTCAAGTTGTCTGCCTGCTGTAAAATGATATACATTAATATTAAATACGGTTTATGATCGTTGAACTGGAGTTAATTTTAATTGTTATTATATTTTTTTATCATCATTTTTTGTTTTTTTAAATTAATATAGTGGATTTATTATTATTATTATTATTATAGTGGATTTTTAAATTATTATCATAATATTTGTAATATAAAATATTATATTA